CAGTATTGCCTTCTAAGCGAATATTCGCACCCATACGCATCAGCTCTGCCACATGCATCATGCGATTCTCAAAGATATTCTCAACCACCACAGCGATACCCTGTGATAGCGTATTCATCGCTACAAACTGTGCTTGCATATCAGTGGGAAAACCAGGGTGCGCTTCGGTACGAATATCAACTGCTTTCAAAGTACGGCCGCGCATGTCTAGTTCGATCCAATCATCACCAATTTCAACCTTGGCACCCGCATCTCTAAATTTTTGCAATACCGCATCCAAAGTTCTGGGAGCAGCATTCAAACATTTAATATGACCACCCGTTATCGCCGCCGCCGCAAGATAGGTGCCGGTTTCAATACGATCTGGCAGTACCGAGTAGGAAATACCCTTTAATTTATCAACACCTTCAACGATAATGGTATGTGTTCCCGCACCGCTGATTTTTGCTCCCATTTGAACCAAACAATTGGCTAAATCCACCACCTCAGGTTCACGTGCAGCATTTTCCAAGGTGGTCACGCCATCTGCCAACACCGCCGCCATCAATAGGTTCTCTGTTCCCGTTACCGTGACAGTTTCCATCACGATAATGGCACCTTTCAAGCGATCGGCCTTAGCACGAATATAGCCATCGGCAACGGTAATCTCTGCACCCATTGCTTCCAAACCACTCAAGTGAATATTGACTGGCCTACTACCAATGGCACAGCCTCCGGGCAATGAAACTTCAGCTTCCCCATAGCGCGCCAACAAAGGACCTAGCACCAAGATAGACGCCCGCATAGTACGTACTAACTCATAGGGCGCACATTGCGTGGTTAATGTTGATGTATCCGTAGTTATATTATTATCGTCATCAACTAGAGTGGTCATTCCCATACCGCTCAATAGAGAGGCCATCGTCGTGACATCTTTTAAGCGTGGCACATTACGAATCGTCATTTCCCCATGAGCTAGCAGAGACGCTGCCTGCAAAGGCAGAACCGCATTCTTTGCGCCAGAAATTACCACTTCCCCTACTAGAGGAACACCTCCTTCAATTTGAAATTTTTGCATAATACAAGTCTGTTTTTATTCTATTATTAGATCATTAAATTAG